TTTAGGATTTAGGGTATAGGGTTCAGGGTTCAGGGTGGACGCGGGTTGAGGCTATTCGGGCATAAAGGGTATTAGGGTATTTTTGAAAAGTCAGGGTTTTGGGATGACGGCTTCAGACTTTGGGGAACGAAGTTCGGTAAGGGTTTAGGGTTTAGGGTTTAGGGTTTAGGGGAGGATTCTGGGCAGGGAGCTTGGGGCCAACCCCAAAACTTTAGGGCTGAGGGCCGCTAGGGTGTGGGATTGAGATGCCTTAGTACCGGGGCCTATTCAGAAATAGGGGAGTCGGGCATATTTTGCTGTGGCTAGATCGGGACTATAAGGGGATGTGGTCTATCTTGGGGGCGTCATCACCTGATTTGCCGACAGTGTGGAAGGGACGCACACGGCTTAGGGTTTAGGGTTTTGCATCCGCAGTTCGTGAAACATCTCACGGCTTGTCCCAAGTCAACATCACGGCGAAACCCTAAACCCTAAACCCTAAACCCCTAAACCCTAAACCCTAAACCCTAAACCCTAAGCCAAGTCCATAACTCTCGAAGCGACAATATCTGGGTCGAAAACCATGGCCAAAATCATTCAAACCTGTGACTGCTGGATCAGCCTACATAGCGCAGAATAAAAATGATCTGATACCAAAAACTAGAAACCACAATAGTAATTGTAGTAATAGTAACAATTACGGTATACTAACATCGGCAGTAGCTGCAGAAGTTAACCTCCAAACCCGCGCTCCATGATTCAGGGTTGCACTGTTTTGGAGCTCAATGTTTGGGCTCTAAAGCCATTGCAGATACATAAGGCTTACCCATAGGCCCCATAGTAGTTCCTTTTTGGGGCTACCTTATAGGACTCTATATATGAACCCCCAAAAGGAACTACTTTAGGGCCTATGGGTAGGTGTTAAAGTACTTGCAGGGGCCAACCTTGCCCGATCTGACGAGCAACGAGCATTTCAGGATCATGGGAACCGGTGCAGACTCAGAGCCACCAGGGCATACGCTACCATACGACTATGTAAGTACCTGGAGCCCCACTTATGGGTAGTTACAAGTGGGGTTATAAGTAGGGTAACTCTTGTTATAACCCCTTATTTGGGGACTTATAACCCCGCTTATAACTACCCATGAACCTCCAAGTACGCTCCCATACGACAGACTACTGATGAATCGTAGACCCAAGACTTGATAAACCGTACAAGCACAACATTGTGAACGACTCCGATTGACCTTACGACAAGAAAGAGTTAGATCCCAAGAGCCGATTATTGAGGCCAGTGTGAACGGAAAACGACCGGCCTTCGAGGGAAATTGATAAACTTGAGTCTTGCTTATGGTTTAGCGTTCAGGGGCTGCGGTCTAGAACACAAGCTCTTTGTTTTAGGGTAAGAAGGTATAGCAACTCCTGAACCCCAATGTCCTGCCTCAACTGCAATGAACCTAGGCCCTAAACCACTTGCCTCCACACTGCGCAAAATGGCAGCACGGTTTCCCGGATCGCTGAGATCCTGAGATGCAGGGATGCGCGCTGAGGCGGAAGAGTGGCGGTGTAGGTTTTAGGGTGGTGACAGTAGTGGAATGGGGGGGGGACATACTTTGCCATGAAGTTGGTGGGGATCCCAAATACCGCACCTGTTGCGGCTGCTGGGGGTAGCTGCCAGTGCCGACGAACGACAATGTAAACACGACAGCATGATGATCGCAGAACATTATAACAGTAGCAACCAACATGGAACAAAGATTCCCTAAGAGAAAACAGCATCGAGGCTACTGCCTGCTGTTTTCTGTCTTGAACAGAGTACGGCGGGAGCAAAGATCAACGGGATGCTGGTAGAGTCTTGCACACAGCACTGTGAAGTACTGAGCATTAAAAAAAGCCCCAATATAGGGGCCTTGACAACAATTGGAGTAGGATTTGGGGTATACTAGGACAACATAGTATTGATAATTATTTAGGCCCATACGTTCCCCCTTAAGGACTCGCTGTCCTCCAGCACGATGCGAATGCCAGCCAACCGTGCACCGGCAGCAGCCTGCCCACTCTCAAGGGTTTTCTGCAGAGTCGTCGGTATTTGGTAGGCACCCTAATATACGGGCCTTAATAATTAGAACAGGGTTTGGGGGTATCTTGTACTATAACTATAATAAGGAACCCCCAAAATAGTATAGGTAATCATTTAGGCCCCTATATCAGGCACTCTTATCATCAGTCTATGCCAACTGCCGTCCTCAGCATTCTCATTAGAGTATGCTCGACAGCTTTGTGGCCATACTTGCAGGAGGCCCGGTCGCGAATGCACTTCATGATGGAGTAGGTATGCTGGGCAGGCGACACTGGTTCAGTTTGTCCAACATTCTGGTGAATGATTCCCGGCCCCTGAAGGGCTGAATACCGAAGGGCAATAACGTTTGCGAGGCTGCGAATGATTCCCTGGCATTCAGGAGCCTGTGCAGGCACTGCGCCTCCACGCACATAGCGCTCCAGTTGATGCTCGAACCGGATCGGCCACAGGTCGCGGAGAAGCCGCCGTCAGCAGCATGCAGTCCTCCTCATAAGCTGCTGCAGTGTAAACGAGACAACCCTGAAACCCTGAACCCTAAATCCTACAGCCCTAAAGCCGCTGAAAAACTAAAGCCTACACCTCGAAAGCCCTACACTCCGTAATCCCAGACCCTAAACCCTAAACAACTAAATCCCCAAACCCATTACTCCCTACAAAGCCTAAAGCCCTTGACCCCTGAACCTTAACCCTAAAACATCCTGAAACCCTAAATCCTTCAACCCGTAACAACCCTAAGCCCCAAACCGCATATACCCTTAGCCCTAAACCCCCAAATCCCCAAACCCTAAACCTTGGAATCCTTCGAGGAATCCTGTAAAGCAAGCTCTTGAAAGCCTTAATTGCAAAGAATCCTTTCGCACCCTAAACCCTTAGCCCTAAACCAAGGAATGCTGAAAAGGAACCCTGGAAAGGAATCCTTTCCAGCAATCCTTGAAAATCGGTTAGGGTTGAGGGTTTAGGGTTTAAGGTTTAGGGTTTATAAGGGTTTACCCTAAACACTAAATAAACCCTAAACCCCTAACCCTAAACCCAAAACCCTAAACCCCTAAATCCTAAACCCTAAACCCAAAACCTTAAACCCCTAAAAGGATCCCCAAAGGAACACAAGAGGTTCGGGCCTCTAGGCGCTGACTCCTTGAGGCGCCCCGGGGCTCCTCGACTTCGACTGCTTTGCCCACGGGCCGGTGGTTTGGAGGGTTCTTTTAAATCCAAGGTACTTCAAAGGTTAACGTAGGGGCCATAATAATTAGAATAGGGTTTTTGGGTATATTATACTTTCATTGTAAAAAGGAACACCCCAGATAGTATATTAAAGCCCTTACATTATTCAGGGATTCCCTTAAAGGGGTTTCTAAGGGTTCATAAGGGTTTCTAGACGGTTGTCGCAGGGTTTGTAGGGGTTCTGAAGGGTTTTCTATGGGCTTATATGGGTTCCGGTTTTAAAGTTTCGAAAATCAAGATTTTTGTTATAAGGGCTCTGTCAAGGTTTATTAAAGGTTGCAGAAAGGGCTCCTTGTAGTTCAGGGCTTAGAAAGGGCTCCTAGGGAATTCAAAGGCGTTTGGTGTTTTGGTCTTTGGGGTTCAAGCTCCTAGGGCTTAGGGTTTAGGGTTTAGGGCTTTTGGGGTAGTGGAGGGCGGGGTTAGGGTGCCGCAAGGGCCTGTATATAGACGAGGTCCCTAAACGATTTAAAGGCTCTTCTAGGGCTGCTTCGGGGTTTTGTTTGGGGCTGCCTGTGAGCATGTAGGATTCCATTTTTTGTTTTGTTTTTTTTTTTGGGGGGGGGGCGGGCTCCTGTAAGGATTCTGAACACTAAACGCTAAGCCGTACATTGGTTTGGGGGTTTGGGGCGAACTGGGACTCCCAAAACCCCCACCAGGGCCTCTCAATCCCTAAAACCCCTAGGCACCCTTAAAGCCCGAAAACCGTAAACCCCTCNNCAAGGTAAGGTAGGGGCCTTAATAATTAGAATAGGGTTTTGGGGTGTGCCTTATTATATTTATAGTACAATATCCCCCAAACCCCTACTGTAATTATTAAGGCCGCTATAATTACATCTTAAACCCTGCCTCGTCCTCCGAATCCTCTAGAAGCTCTTGCAGTTCCATGAAGGACCAGAAAGTCAGATCTGCGATCCTGCCTATGCAGCGTCCGGGTTTAGGGTTAATGGGTGTCTTGTGCCAACATAACACCCGTTTCGCCCCGACGTGATTGCACTACGTGGTTTTTTCGAGTCCTCAAGAGCCATGTCGAGTGTTGAAAGTTCGTATAGCATTATATAGCCTTGTATAACCTAAGTATATGTATATATCTATCTATCTATCTATCTATCCGTCTATCTATCTATCTATCTAGCTATCTTTCTATCTATCCCTAATTATATCAAACCCTGCAGCGCAAAACCGCAAATCTAGAGGCATGCAGAGTTGGGAATCCCGATGCTTTCGCGCAACTGTCTGCAGAGAGCCAGAAGGCCAAAAGCTTCCGGGTGGGTCGGGTCTGTGCTCTCAGCATTGAGGAGTAGGGTTTACCTTAAGAACCCAAAACCTACTTTTTTGTAGGTTCTTATTATAAACCCTAATATGGGATTTATAAGGACCCTACAAAAAAGTAGGTATTGGGTTCTTAACGCAGGCAGGGCTTGGGGTTGGTTGACGGTTTGCAGGAGTCTAAGGACGGAACTTACGGAAACCACGGAATGAGGCGGAAGAGCCCCTCAACAAGGTATCAAGGCCCTGAAGCAAGGAGGTATAAGGATCCCTGCAAGGTATCAGCGCCGACACGCAAGGTCGAACAAAGCTCAGCGCTGAAGGGGTGGTTCGCGGCATGTAGGGGTTTCCGAAAATAGGGGACCCTAATATAGTACCCTAATTAATAGGATCCCTATTGTAAGGACCCCAAAATAAGGTACCCTAATTTTCTGAAACTCCCATTTGGGTCTGCCATGCTGCCCTTGCACACGAGCTGGCCATGAACCACCCAAAACAAGGATGCAGCACTCGAATGTCAGTGGAACTAGACGAGGTTCAGGGAGCCGTCTTAATCTTTCGGAGCCTGCAAATGATGTTGAATATCAGACTTGGAGAAACTGTGATCCCTAAACCCAATAAAGCCTAAACCCTAAACCCTAAACCCTGAACCCTAAACCCTAAACCCCTAAACCGAGCAGGCTTGGGGAAACGCAGATCTAAATAAACCCGTCCCGACCCTGTATCAGAGGGTCACGACACCGACTCCTCAGTCCTCACCCTTTAGGGTTTAGGGTTTAGGGTTCAGGGTTTAGGGTTTAGGGTTTAGGATTTAGGGTTCAGGGTTCAGGGTTTAGGGTTTAGGGTTCAGGGTTGAGGGTTCGGGTTTAGGGTTCAGGGTCGAGGGCTCAGGGTTCGGTTAAGGGTTGGGTTTTCTATTTAAATTGCAATGGCTCTTTCTCCGCATGGCAGGTCTCAGAGCCCGCTCATTCAAGGGGTTTAGAGTTTATCGTTTAGCTGCAGATGGGCAGCAAACGATCACTTGAATTAAAAATAATGCAAGCAGTAACTCAGTAGTCAGTAAACCCTAGGGCTCCAGTTGCTGAAATCATAGGGTACTAACTATTTAAAAAACATATCCCAGTAGCCCACTATCTAAGTAACTGGAGCCCTACTTGGAGGTTCATGGGTAGTTATTAAGTGGGGTTGTAAGTAGGGTAACTATAGTTATAACCCATATTAGGGGACTTATAACCCCACTTATAACTACCCATGAACCTCCAAGTAGGGATAAACCCCTGAACCCTGAACCCCCCAAGCCCTAAACCCCCAAAGCCTCAACTCTAAACCCCAAACCACACCCTGAAACCTAAGCCCTAAACCCTAAACCCAAAGCCCTAAACCCTAAACCCTAAACCCTAACCCTAAACCCTAAACCCTGAACCCTAAACCCTAAACCCTAAGGGGTGAGGACTGGGGGGTCGGGATTGCAAACCACACCCTGAAACCCAACCAAAATCACAGCGAAGTCTTTTTTCTCCTTCTGAGATGCAGCAGCTGGAAAGCCGCAGCGTGCCGTGCCAAAGAGAATGCCGCGTGTGAGGCGAGGAAAGGTTTAGGACTAGGAAGTTTAGTTTGGGGCTTAGGGTTTAGGGTTTAGGGTCTAGGACTCGGAAGTTTAGGTCAGTTTCAGTTCAGGTTTTGCTGCATGTCTGACAGCACTGAACACTGCACACGCCAACAAGCTGAACAGAGCACAAACAACTACCAGCACTCCTCCAGCCCCTTCTAGCCATCTCGACCTGGAAGGTGGTTAACTCACATCAGCGGGACTGCCCTGGCGAAAGGAGCAGCGCGCGAACAGCAACGCCGCAAACGGGGTGCTAAATAAGGCGTTGGCACATTCAAGTGAATCTGAGCGACACGAACCGATTCTTACTCCGAACACTACTGCCGCTCCTACTGATCCTAACATCACTGCCGGTGTCATGACTACTACAAGTAGCACCACCACTACTACTACTGCTGCTGCTCCTGCTCCTGCTCCTGCTGCTGCTGCTGCTGCTGCTGCTGCTGCTGCTGCTGCTGCTGCTGCTGCTTCTGCCACTACTACCACTAGTACTGAAAGACTGCCGCTGGTGTGACTACTGCGACATGTGCCACTACATGTGCCACTACAGCGGCAACGACAACGACAACGACGACCCGCTCCAGCTCAAATACCCATAGGCCCTAAAGTTCCTTTTTGGGGCTCATATATGGAATCCTATAAGGTAACCACAAAAAGGAACTACTGGCCTATGGGTATGCACCCCTCAGCATCCCAGGCCATGGGGCTCTGGGAAGTCGAAGATGGTTTAGGGCTTCGGGCTTAGAGTTTCGGGTTTTGGGTTTAGGGTGTGTCACCATCGATGCTTTTGCTTGGACGCTTTTGAAGGAGACATGCTTAAACTTGCTATGTACGATGTAGGGCAACTACCTGAGCAGTGGGGATCGTGGTATTTCACGGAAATTGAAGAATTTGTGCAGTGTTTTCATACATGAGGGGAAGCAGTCCGACAATAAAGGTAAGATCCTTGCCGTGCAAGCCCAGCCCAACAGATTTTCAAAGAACACCCGATTTCGGGACTGTAGGCAAAATAGGAGTTGACAACCGCAAGGACGTCTTGAAGGTGCGACGACCGTTTAGGGCAGCACAGCTCAAAAGGAGCCTTCACTAAAACACACAGGGTGAGAAGGGTTCTGGGGTCGGTGTGAAGGATGTAAGGTAACTTGCATGAACTTGATCGCGCACGCACACGTTTAGTACACATATACAGCATTTATTTGTATGTTTGTTGTGGGATCCTGTGTTGACACGGCAGAACCATCAACACATTCGTTCATTATACCATCTGTCCTACCTGCAGTGGCGCAGTGGGTGGCTTTTTTGATGTCTTGCTGCTCAGATGCTGAAAAAAACCCTAAACCNNAACCCTGAACCCTAAACCCTACTCCACCGATGGTGGAAGTGTGGATTCAAATTTGAATGCCAATCACATGAGCCGGCTTTGCGGCCTCTTTGTCCACGGAGCTTGCCCGCAGTGGAAATTCGTATAGGGGCCTGAAAAATTAGAACAG